TGCAGAGACTCTGCCACTGACCTGCTGTAGAGATAGAGTTATGGATGAGTGTGCAGGTGGGACCATACAAGTCTCAGCATGTCATCTCCTCACACGTTCTCTTTTCCTTCAGAATGCAGTGGGCCTTGTCCTGCAGGGATGATAAACAGGTTTCCCCAAGCATGCAAGGCTCAGTGAACTATGTATCTCAAATTTTATATGAGAATTCCTATGGGCCTAAGGGAGTATATTGTGCCTTGAGTCCATCTGGCAAAGTAAAAGACACAGAAGTGTTCAGAACAAGATTACTTAACAATATTTTTGTCTCAGAAAAAAAGAATAAGATGAAAGGCTGTTTTTCACAGGTTAGAAAAGTAAAAATGGGTGGAAGCCCTTCACAGTGGATAAATATTTGCTTTTCATTTGCATGTTCCAGTGTCATGCAGCTGCTACATGGTGAACATGAGCTCTGCCTTCTTCTGCTCATACAAGTCATATTTCTTCTGCTCTTCTCTCCCTCAGAGCCTCATTTCACTAGGGCAGAGAAGGGGCTGCACTCAGCCAGGGCTGTGTGGTTGACTCTGGTTTCACCTTGAGTCAGGAACCAAGGACAAGGTCAGATCCATCCTGGCGTGGCTGTGCTGCTCTCCATTCCATGGTGCCCTGGTCCAGTGCTCATTGCACCGCAGCACTGGGATCTCTATGGATGATGGGATGTTGCAGAGTCAGCATGAAGCACAGGCCCATATGACACATTTGACCTCACCCCAAAGTCCACAGCATCTCTGAGCACTGTGGTTTTGTGACCTGCTTTCTCTTTCCTTTGATAACAAAAGACAGATATGATTAACCCTTTAGACAAGGGACAGTGTGTCTGGAACTTAAGGTGACAAGCCGAGAAAGATGCAGATTCTGTCTGAAGCTCTCCTCAAGGTTCTCCAGAAATCCACCTGATCATACGCTTTTGTATTTTCAGACATAAATGAGGACACTGTGCAAGTTGGAGGAAGTGTGGCAACACACACAATGAACAAGAATGAGTGGCCTTACTGGAGGGATGTACACAGAGCTAGGAAACAGTGCATTTGAAAACTAGGAGGAGGCCAGTGTGAACTAGGCCTGATCCAGAAAGCACAGGCAGGGAGAACCAACACGTTAGTTTCCACACAAATTTTAATTTCAAATTTGAAAGTCTCATTTAATAAAATTCTGGAAAAGTCTTAAATGTAGGACTATAATTAAAAAAATGTATTATACAAAATTTTTGAAATAGAAGATATAATAAATGTTTACTACACAATAATAATGAGATTGTCAGAATTATATAACTTTGAACATGAGTAATCAGGGACTTTGTGCCTCCCTATAATTTAGAGGTAGGTGCTCAGGTAAAAAGACTATAATAATAACTTCAACCAAAAAAAAAATGGATTTCATGGAGGACTGCATTTTGTATCAGGTTTTATTTATGGTAAGTTTGATGTCATATATTGTTTTACACTCATAGGCACCTAAAGATGAAATCAGGCTTGAAAAGGTGTTGCTCAACAATGTTGTCCTATGAGGAAGTCACAGTGTAATTACACATACCTGAAATGTGCAGCCACTTCAGTGACCTTAGGAGCTGTGCTTTCACATGACTGACAGTGAAGTAGGTTGTTTTACATGAATGTCAATACACAAATGTGTGGCCACATGAGGAACTGTGACATCACAGCACCAATGATGTCTCCTGTTGAGAGGGAGATGTGAGCCCCATTAAGAACTTATTGGAAACCCCTTGGATGAGAAGTCTGTTTTTGACTACAAAGCCATGTATGCACATGGATGTACAGGAAACTATGGTCATAAAATCTGGAAATGGCAAACATGTTTAATTTAAAACAATTCACCATTTTGAATAGCAACTTGAAAGATCCGTGCAACTGTTATAAAGGTGACTGGCTCATCCTCTGTGACATTTTTTCTTATGATTACACATCTGGGCACCCTGTCTGGGGTTTCAGTCTGGAAAAGACCTGCCAGGTCTCTGTGGAGCATCTGTCAGGGGAGTAGCTTCTACTGTGTACATAATTCTCACTGTTTATGAACCAGCACTGCTACTCCTCTCTGCAAACACAGGGACACAGCCTTCTTCACAAAAATGTTAAGGAGCTACAGGATATCGTTTCCATGAGAATGAGCTGCCTGGTGAACTTTGAGATGAAATATTAAGATAATTTATTGCTGAATCAAACTTTGCTAATATTTAAATCCTTAGTCACACTCAGGTACCAATAATGGAGTGAAAAGACAAGCCTAGACTGCAGAAACTATTTTCACATGTTATGTCTGAAAAAATATTATATTCTGAATGTCAAGGACTGCATAAGTAATGCAGGAACCCACAACCCTCTGACCACATGGTCTGGCCCTACTAGGGAAGCTGGAGATGTGGAGGGTTCCTTTGAGGGTCCTTTCCTCTGAGCATAGATATGGACAAGCCCCACCCCCTCTGCTGCCTCCAAGCACAATGAACCTTCATGAGCAGAATCTGAGAACATGTGTCAGTCATGATTCTGCCCACATAATCTATGCTGTATTTGGAGGATGCTACTTCATATAAAGATGTAGTGGCTGTTTTGTTTGTCCTCTTCTGTATATAAAGTCATGTTTCTCTCTGATGGAATATGTCAGGTTTTGTGCTGTAGGCCTTGGTGCCTAAAGGAGACTTAGCACTGGAAAACAAGGACACATACACAAGATTCACACAGCAAAGATCAAAGAGCTCCAGCCTGCCCACATTCTGTATTTGCTCATTTAAACCTGGTCATAGGTGTTTAAGGTAGGAAAATAGGCTCTTGGGAAACTGATTGTATATATTTGGATAGTAATTTATAACTATCTTGAAAGCAACATATCAGTAAACATAAAAGTATGATTAAAAACTCATGCCTTTTCTGGCAGATGGGGAAGAGGCAGAAATGCCCCTTCAGTTGTCAGCATTCAAACATAAAGTAAAATAAAGGCTGACTACATAATCCACTTAACATCCTAAAAATGAGCAAAAAGGAGCAAAAAAGAAAAATAGGTAAAACCATTAGGCGTGGATTACAATAATGACTAGAGTGAATAGAAATGATTATAAGGAAGGAAGTAATGATGAAAATGAAAATATTTGTTATGACTTTTATGGTGATGATGATGATGAAAATAAGGATGATAAAGGTGGACTGAAAGAAAGGTCTCAGTGGAATAAAACTATGGCTCCTCATACAGACACACCATCACCCTGGCTCCTCCAGTCAGGGGTGTCCTCTCTTCCCTTTAGTGTTGAGAAATTTCATAAGTGAAGCCCCGATGAGTAATTCAGCTTTGCTGATTCATGGTGGTACCAGAGGAGCAATGACCTTCATGGAGTCCTACCCTAAACCTTTGCACCTGTGACTTTGTTACCAAATGTAACAGAAACACTGTAAAAATGTGATTGTGTGTCACAAGGCACCCAATTTCCACCTTCTCCGAAGACATATTCTTTATTTTTATTGATCCCTTATTTCCACTTTTAACAAATGTTTGTCCATAAATGTTCAGGAACCTTCTAAAATAATATAATCTGTCTCTATCATTCCCTTTACTTCCTTCTGGTCCCTCACTTGAGATCCTGCCAACCAACGATTCTAGTAGCAATCTGCTCATGAGACATATTTGTGTCATGTGACACAAGAGTAGTTCAGCTTCCACCCTTTACCTGTTTCAAAGTCACTCCTAGATTGGTGGGTATTTTTCCAGCAGCCTCCATTCCTTGTACCAGTGCATGATCAAACCCCTATGGCTGCTGTAACCAACCACAGGGAACAATGGAAGCTGACCAGTTTCTGGGGAGTTTTTAGGGAAAAAAATCCTCCAATAAAGATATACTAAAATATTAATATATTATATTTCGATAAAGTTATATAAATTTTTCCCAACAGAGTTTCATTAAGACAATAAAAAAATGTGAACATGAAGGGCATATTTCCAAATCATAAGTATGACAGAAGAAAATCTTTACTGTACAATAAGAATGTCATGTGTTGTCTGTGTGAACCCAGCACCCTCTGAGTACAGTGACCATCTCCAGAAACAGGGGCTGAGTGGCTGGGAGTGAGGGTTTCCTGTCAGGGTTGAAGTTCCCTTTCCTGTGAGCAACTCAATACTAGGAATTCTCCTCATTCACCTCCATCTGAACCCTGACATCACTGACAACACTAGACTGAGAAAAAAAGGTCAGTTATTCTGCTGTCATAATCATTCATCACATTAAAGGTTCTAAATTGTTCACTGGGATATTTTCTTCTTTTATTTTCAATCGTGCCTCCATGTGAAAATGGTGAGTAGCACTGATGTGATAAGTTTGGAGTCTCTGCAGCATGCCCTGGGCTTGCACAAGGGAACAGTTTGCATAGAAAGTTGTAAGTGCAAGAGCAAAATTTCCACAAGAATCAAAACTGTGCTGTCTGCCAGTGCATGTCAGGGAGTTTCTCAGGTCAAAGTGACATCATAAATTAAGAAACATGATGTTGAGAGTGATTGTCATTAATTTTTGAATTACTTTACCAATATAGATAACTCCATGCATGAAATTATAATGTAAACTTTTAGAAATTATGAATATACTAGACTTTTGGGATCAGAAACTGTCTGAACCAGTGGTAATCACTTTTAAATCTGTTTGAAAGAGGCATGTGATTTTAAGAGTCACCTATTCATCTAGTCCACCATTGCATTGACAATGCGTCTCATGAACCAGTGGCTTCCTCATCTCTGACTCACAGGTTCAGTGAGATCCAGAGAGAGTTCAGGAGAAAGGACCCAAAAGAGGTCCCAGAAGAACAAGTTTGCTGACCTCGGTTCCTCTTTACTTATAGAGGAAAAGTTTATCCACATGCAAATTTCTACTCTCACTCCAGGGTAGATAGATCCCTGGGCTGTGGGGTCACACAGCTCTTCTCTCACTGGGTGTTGAATTCTGCAGGGAAGGCAGAGCTGTGCTATAGAATATGAGACTGCTGGGTCTCCTCCTGTGCCTGGTAACGACCCCCCAGGGTGAGTATCTCCAATGTCAGACATGGTCTATGGGTCATGGTTACTGCACATGACTGATATAAATTGTCCTTGTCCCCAGGTGTCCTGTCCCAGGTGCAGCTACAGGAATCGGGCCCAGGACTGGTGAAGCCCTCACAGACCCTCTCCCTCACCTGCACAGTGTCTGGATTCTCTTTAACAAGCTATGCTGTGGGCTGGGCCCGCCAGGCTCCAGGGAAGAGGCTGGAGTGGGTTGGTATTATATGGGAAGGTGGAAGCACAAACTACAACCCAGCGCTGAAATCCCGACTCAGCATCACCAGGGACACTTCCAAGAGCCGGGTCTATTTGACACTGAACAGCCTGAGAGCAGATGACACGGCGGTGTATTACTGTGCTAGAGCCACAATGAGGGGAAGTCATTGTGAGCCTAGACAGAAACATCCTAAAGGAGATAGAGGGGCTGGGTTTCAGGAAGTGCTCAGGACACCAGGGTGCACTCAGGGCCAACAGAGAAGAGACTCAACTCCAGGGGAAGGTATGTACCTGGGTGGGGAAAGAAGGGGCTTCCCCCAAGGAGGACGCATTTCCTTTAGAAGCTCTCAGATGCATCCAGGAAGAATTCTTTCCTTTTCTATGCAAATCTAATTTCTGAGATTCTTACTGTGGAAAATAAATGAAGGAGAAAATAAATGATAAAATGGAGGATAAAAAATTCCTCAAATTTACTTGTGATGAACCAGAGGTGAACCTGATTCTTGCATTCCTGATTAGAATTTATGTCACAGGTCCTCAGAGACACAGATTCTGATGGTGAAAATAAGGCAGCTCAACCACCAGAGCTGACCAGGTTTATCCAAAGTTAGATCCACCAGCTCCAGAAGGGGGAGGTTATATACTGGTTTAGTCACTGTGTAATCAATGGATGAAGAAAACTTACGTGCTTCATATCAATTACAATTTTATTTATTGTATCTTATTTTATATAAGTGATTGACATCAATTTTTTCCATAATTAAATAACTATAATTTTAACGTATTTGACAATCTTTATCTTAGGTGAAAACATCTTCACTTAAGTAGATCTACTCATAACTGACTTTTTTCTGTTTCCCCAATGTTTCAACCTTGTTTTACCACAGAGTCAAGACAATAATAAAGATAAAAATGATTTAGTAGCGCTGCTGAACATTCAACCCCAAACTCCGATGAAGAAACATGACTAATGAGTGCTGTCTGCTTCCCTGTAAAGTTCACAAGTGACTCCCAATGAGTCACACAGATGCTTAGTCTCCTCCAACACTGGATCCATGTGGTCTAGGGTCACACTGTTCTTTGTGTTAATACCCTGATTGCTTTGTAGAGAAAACCAGCTCAGATGGAACTTCCTGTCTCCTGAACACAAACCTCCTGAACTTTATAAGTCCCCTCTACTCATGAAGGTAGATTTCCCATATTTTGTTCATTACTAGTAACATTCAAAGGCATCACTCATTTTAAATCTCTCTGTTTAAGACACTTTACTTTTTGAGGTCATGTGCCCCTCTACTGGAGCAGTTGGGTCACTTGGGAGAGAACAGGGCCAACGTATGGAGTGATTTTTTTATATTAATTTTACTATTTTTTCCTGACCTGGGGGTATATTTTGCACTGTTTTCACACAGAGCAAGGTGTTAACAGAAGAGGAGGAGAGAAACATCAATTTTTTTTTTACCTACTGGTCATGTCGAGACTGAAGTCATAGGTGCCCAGACATGGGATTAGACCCACAACTTTTCAGGTATAAGATGAGGTTCCAAACAAATGAGCCAAACCAACCAGGGGTTAAAGTAGTCTCACTTTGTTTTTACTTACTTTCTAACATACATGAGCCTTTACATATCACACTCTGAAACTATGCCCTTCAGGTCAGTGTCCAAACACAGATACCACTATATAGTAGGAAGACATGCAGTTCTCCTCTGCTCATGAAAAGCAGCCCAACAGCCACCCTGAAGCTCTGGGACAGGAGCATAGCCAAAACTTTCCACGTGCCCACAATGGAGTTTGGGCTCAGTTGGGTTTTCCTTCTTGCTACTATAACAGGTAATTTATGGAGAATAAGATGTACTGAGTATGTGAGTGGATATGACTGAGAGGAACACTGGGAGTGTGAGTTTCCTGACCAGGATGGCCCTGTGTCTGCAGATGTGCCATGTGAAGTGCATTTGGTGAATTCTGGGGGAAGGTAGGTGCATCCTGGGGCACCGCTGAGACTCCCCTGTACAGCCTATGGATTCACCTTCAGTAGCTACTGGGTGACTACAGGCTTCAAGAAAGGGGCTGGAGTGGGTCAGTAGCATAAAAACTGATGGAAATAGCTCATACTATGCCAACTCTGTGAAGGGCCAGCTTACTATCTCTAGAGCCAATGCCAAGAACACAGTGTACCTCAAAATGAACAGCTTGAGAGCCAAGGACACAGTCATGTATTGCTGTAGGACAGACACAGTGACAGGAAGTCAGCATAAACCAAGACACACACCTACCTGCAGGAGTAGTTGTGACCACCTGGAGGTGCTCCAGGTCCCTGAACACAAGGACCATCCCAGGGGCAGGGGCAGTTGCAGATTTTGGCTGATTTCCTGTGCATTTCTCTCTTCCTATATTAGTTTCCTTCAGGGAATTTCTCTGGATTCCTGACTCTGCATTGGTCACAGAAGTTTCTGAGTTAGAAAAGCCTGTTCTACAGAATCACAAAATGTTTTTCATGGACAAAAGGCTGAGCCTCTTTCAGACATCTTCTGCACAGTTCCAATAAATCATTGTCTTTCTGACCAACACCATCTGTTCTAACTAGAGACTATGCTGGACTTATCCAAGCTACTCAGTCCCACACAGCTCAGTGTCAAAGCTGGCCAGCAGCAAGGCATGTGCCTGCAGGACAACAGATACCAGAAGCCTATGAACTGAATGTCAGAGGAGAAATACCAAGCATGACATTGAGCATAGACTTGGCACAGTAGTCACACCACCAAGAGTAGGTGACACAACACAGAGGCATAGGGATCCACACAGCTTCGTATGTATATCCAGACTCATGACAAAGACCCACCAAGGTGGGGGCATAGCGCATTTATAAGCATGTAGTCAAAATGTCTGGGAGGAACAAGAAATGCCTTTCAGCAAATCAGATTACTATAGTAAATCCTGGTGAGCAACCCGTAGTTTTTGCTGAGGTATGAACCACAGCAAATAATCTAGGACAAGGTTCTCAATGGGAGTCTCTAATAAACTTACAGGATGTTTACAATTTTCCTAATAAAGATAAAACTTCTGACCACAGGCCTAGAATTTAGCTATGTCTCCTGCCTGTCACACTCTGCAGCACACACTTGCCGTAGCCTCCATGGAACTTAGGGCATTTCTTTCTCTTTTGTTACTTTTCAATTTCACTTAATATTCTACTGAGTTGGCCAATAATTCCATATGTTTTCTCTGTAAAATAAAAGACACAATTTTTTTTTTTACTTTCACCAATAACATTATTGATTTGTACATTTTATGTATGCTGCTATCTCCCATTATGTATAATATTGATTTTACTCAATTTATGTCCTGATTTGATCACTTCAACTGTCTACCCAACTGCAGAGCATCATCCTGCAAGAAAATGTCAGTGTGAAACCTCACAAACCACGTTTGACACATTCAATCAGTTGCAGCAGCTTTTCCATACATAGCACAAACCTTTATTTTCATTTCAGTTGTTATTTTACCTTCTTTGAAATAATAAAGGATAATATGCTGAAAGCCTTGCATATTTTAACACCTTCAATATTAACATATCTACACCAAAAATCACCAATTTTGATATCTTCTTTTTAAAATGCACACTGATATGACAGCTGTCACAATACAAGTTAAAAAATTGTTTCAAATGAAGTTAGAGACAACTAAGTGTTGCTAAAGACATCTTACAGGAAAAAAAAAACACACTTTTTGGCCAATCTGATATATTAATGGCTACATCACTATATGAAGGTATTTGTGCAGAAAGTGACATAAGACAACTTGGACATGCAACATGAGGAAGAATGTCACAAAATGAACAAGAAGAATCTTGGAAGTGTTCATGCCAAGCTTGCTTAATCAAATCATTCATGTATATGTATCTCTTAGTTATGCATCCTAATTCACATAGCATGTGTCTTTATGCCCAGGTGATTCCTGTCTTATGTGATGAGATGGCAGCATACCACAGTGCCATGAGTAGACAAAAAATGGATGATAATAAGATGGAAATGAAGTTTCTGAAAAGGAGAAAACATGTTTTTTTGGTTTTCTGATTATAACTATGTCACAAGTCCATAGAGCAACAGATGCTAATGATAAAAATAAAACTGAACCAACACTGCTGAACATTTTCCATGAAGTAATACCATTGGCCAGAGGAAGGGGAGACTACCTAAATTATTTATTTATTCAGTAATAAATGGATAAAGAAAAAAATAATGTTCTTTAAATATTTATTTTCTTTTATGAGATACCCTTTTAAGGATTGGATCAATGTTTTCTATAATGAAATCTCTATAATTTAAATATACTTACTCCACATTTTTTAGCCTCATATTCACCTTAGGAGATCTAGCCCTGAATGAGTTTCTTCTGTGCCCACTCTTTTTGAGTCTCAGAGTCTACAGCCAAAAAACAAAAACAAAACAAAACAAAGAAACAGAAAAAAAAAAAAGAGAGAGGCAGTGAGGCTGCCACACATTCAGCACCAAACTCTGCTTTAAGAACATATCCCAGGAGCACTGTTTGCTTCTCTATGGAGTTCATACTTCTGTCTTCCAATGATTAACAAAATCTCCACCTCTTCCAACACTGAATCCATGTTCTCTACAGTCACACTCTGTTTTTAGTTCATACTCTCATCACTTTGTATAGGAAATGGTGTCAGATGGATCTTCCAGTCTCCTGAACGCAAGCCACCTGCACTTTTAATCATCCCTCTAAGCATGAGGGTTGACTTCTCTTGGTTTGTTCATTTTTTTTTTAATTTTCAAAGTCATTCCTCATATTAAATTTCTCTCTTCTTATGACAGCTTACTGTAACTCATTGGCCTAGGTCATGTACTTGTCTTCTGGAGCAGTTGGGTCACTAAGGAGGGCAAGGGACAAATGAAGGGAACAATTATTTCATTTTTCATATTCTTATTTTATCTTCACAAAAGGATATTCATTTTATTGCTTTAAAGGCGGGGGGTTGCTTCCTGTACACTCCCAGACATGGAGTTGAACCTGCAACCTTTCAATTATGGGAGGATGCTCCAACCAGTTGTGCCCAATTGGTCCAAACTGGGGAGTAATTCATAAAGACATAGTTCTTTGGGCAAATCGCCCTGTGGACCTTGTCCTTAATGTCACCGCCCAACCCCAAAGCTCCCTATATAGTGGGAGTATATGCAAATAGGGCTCCTCTGCTCATGTAAAGCCACCCAGCCACAACCCTGCATCTTGGAGACAGGAGCACAGTCTGGGTCTCCTAGGTGCACCCAGTACCTGGTCAGGACAGAACACACACATGCCCAACATGGATTCTGGGCTCAGCTGGGTTTTTCTTGTTGTTGCTTTAAGAGGTAACTTTGGAAAACAAGAGGCGCTGAGTATGTGAGTGGATGTGAGAGGAACAGTAAACATGTGAGTGTTCCTGACCTGACATCTTTGTGTTTACAGGTGTCCAGTGTGAGGTGCAACTGGTGCAGTCTGGAGAAGGCTCTGTGCAGCATGAGATGTCTCTGAGACTCTCCTGTGCAGCCTCAGGATTCACCTTTAGTAGTTACAGAATGAACTGGGTTCGGCAGGCTCCTGGGAAGGGGCTGGAATGGGTGGCACTTATACGGAATGATGGAAGTCAGAAATCCTATGAAGACTCTGTGAAAGGTCGATTCACCATCTCCAGAGACAATTCCAAGACCATGTTGTACCTGCAAATGAACAGCCTGAGAGTTTAGGACACTGCTATGTATTATTGTGCACAGGGCACAGTGAGGGTAAGTGAGTGTGAGCTATGACACAAAGCTCCCTGGGAAATACAGGAAGGCTTGTCTGCATGAAGTGTCCAAGACACCAGGGGGTGTGCAGAACACACAGTGATGAATTTTAGCAATAGATGTTTCTTCATCAATATGCTGGCCAATAGTGATTTGCTTTCATTGGGGAATGTTTGTGATATCCATTTACTGAAAGGATAAACATTTATGGTTCATCAGATTTCTGTAATGTTTGTTAGAAGGTTGTTTGCCTGGTGCAAGCCCCAAGTGTGGTAATACCTTAAAATGACAAGAGTGACATAGAGGATAAATATTCAGTGACTGAAATAACATGGGAGTGGATATAACTGACCCATGCTTGATAAATCAAGCACAGATCCATTGTCCTGTAGAAATAGCAACTTTCTCAGTACTCTCCTAGGTAGAGCCACCTGTGACATTCACCTGACAGGGAAAACCAAACAGGTGCTCTTGTCTCTCCCTGGAACTAATTGAGAGCTCAGTGCTTGTCGAGCTGCTCAATTTGGAGGATACTAAATGCACGTGTGAACATCACCAGACTCCCTTCATGCCCAATCCTATGAAAGACCACCTTTTAAAGACAGCTTTAGTATTGGCCAGTGGTGTCTGAATTCTCACCTGTGATGCCTTGTCCAGTGTGTTGGTTCACTAATATTCACACTTTGACATGACTGAGGATGTATCTACAACTTGCACTAATGCAGATTGGACCGTGTGAGGAAGGTCCATGAGTTTACCTCTGGAAAGTGCTGGGGTTTTAGAATAGAAATTCCCCAACATGTGGATGCAGGCATTCCCAGTAGAGACAATTTTATGATGACTACTGAGCATGAAATGTGCCCTATGACTGAAGGATGTAAAGTAATTTGTAACTCAAAATATCCATAAAGCCTTGGTCTGGAAGCAAAAACACTTCCTTCAGGATGGTTGTTCCCAGAGCAGCTTTGTATTGAAATGGGAATAATTTATACTGGGGTATGTCACCTGACCAATACAAGGGGCTGCTCTTCATGTTTTAAGTCAGGAGCTTCTCTCCCTCTGTGGCTGACCCTGGAGAATATGGGTCTTGGTCAGATCTTGTTGTCACATAACTATAGGTTCTTGAACATCTCCCATGTGACCCCCAAGATGTTTCTTGCATTACAGGTGGCAATTTTCCATGTATGGATGATGAATATGTTATGTTGGGGGAGGCCACCACACTGTGAATGTTGCAAAATCCTGGGGCATAAGGTAACAGTGAATCACCTCAGTCAGCTGAATCACCCACTATTTTTCCTGATTAGCACAAATATTTGTGTTACTAAGTTCCCTTTCCATAGGTCAGGAAGAGAGCAGTGGAAACCTGGTAATTTTGCAGAGGACCATACAGGGCTTGAGTATAGAGACATCCCTGGGGTATAAGGAGCACATTGAGTAAGACCTGTCACATCATATTGGAAGAAACTCTCAGGAGACAGAAGCCCTCAAAGGGACTTCCTGGTGCCCCTTCTGAAGTAGTTACATGGGTCTCTGTGCTAAAACTTTATGGGGAGTTTTGTGCAAGGCAGTGGTGGACTCAAAGTCCATATATTCCTCCTGCACCCATTGAAGAGCCAAAATGCCAGCAACCACTGTCCTGTCTTCCAGTCACAGAGACCACTGCTGGTCATGGGATTGATGCTCTTGGGGAATGGTCCACATGGCTCACTGTGCATGGATCATGTCATGATCTGTGGCCCAAGGAGACTGGAAATGTGTCCTGACAAAAACAGGAGCTTGTTTCTTTGCTTCACAGACCTTGTGGCAAGTGTCACTGCTTGGGGGCTGTGAAAGGAATTCAGTGCAGATACAGCACCTCAATGGAGAGGAGCAATACTGTTTCTCACTTTGAGGGAGACACTTTTCTTTACATAGCATCTAACAATGAGCAAAAAAAGCATCACATCACATGGACTTACTGTGTCCCATACCATTTCTGCAGTGCTGGTTTGCAGGGAATTGAAATGATTTGTTGAAACACATGTTGTGTGCAAATGAGAAGAAAAAGGAATGAGAGCCTGTTTAGAGTAATCATAAGCAGGTGCTCACACTCACCATGAAAGGCCCAAGGACACTTCCACTGCACAGACTCTGCCAGCGACCTGGCGTTAGGGTTGGAAGTGTGGATCATTGTGCAGGTAGGACCATACAAGTCTCCTCATGTATATCACCTTCTCTTTTCCAACAGGATGCAGTGAGCTTTGTCCTGCAAGGAATAGAACCAGGTTTCCCCAAGCATACAAAGTTCAGTGCACTACAAATCTCACTTTTACATCAGAATACACAGGGACCTGATGGAATGCACTGTGCCTTCAGCCCAACCAACACAATGAAGGGACACAGAAGAGTCCAGAGCAATATTACTTAACAATATTTTTGCTTGGGAATAAGAATAAAATGAAAGGCTGTTATTGATAGGTTAGAAAATTAAAAATGAATGGAAGTCCTTCGTGTTGAAATATATATATATATATATATAATATATATATATATATATATATATATATATATATATATTTTTTTTTCACCCAAGTGTTCCAGTGTCACCCAGCTGCTACACAATGAATAGAAACTATGTCCTCTTCTCCCCACATAAATCACATTTCCTCTGCTCTTCTCTCCCTCGGGACTTTGTCGGACCATGGCAAAGAAGGGGCTGTACTCAGCCATGATAATGGGGCTCACTCTGGGCTCATCCTGAGGGGAGAAATTGAGAACAAGGTCAGACCCATCCAGAATGAATTATGATGCCCTCTACTCAATGCTGTCCTAGGCCAGTGGTTATTACATCCCAGCACTGGGGATCTCTATGGATGAAGCGATGCCACAGAATGAGCATGATACAGAGATCCACAAGACATGCTTGATTGCATGCCAAGGTCCACAGTCTCTGACCATTGTGGTTGTGTAACCCGCTTTGTGTTTCCAATGATAACAGAAGACAGAGAGGTTTAGCCCCTTATACCAGGGTGTATGTGCCTGGGACTTATGGTGAGAAATATGCAGGCTCTGTCTGAATCCCTTTTCAAAGAACTTCAGAAATACAGCTCATCACACAGTTTAGTATTGTTAGATATAATTGAGGATGCTGTACAATTTGGAGGGAATGTGTCAGCACCCACAATGAAGGAGAATGAGTGGCATTGCTGGAGGGATGTACACAGAGCAAGGGACAGGGTATGTGAAAACTCTGAGGAGGCCTATGTAAGCTAGGACTGGTCCAGAAAGCACAGGCAGAGAAAATCAATACAATAGTTTCCAAGCAAATTAAAATTAATTTACGGTTTGACCATTTTATTTGAGAAAATTGACAGAAAATTATAAAATATAAGAATATAATTAATATGTGCAATTTACAAAGTAGTTGAAATAGAAGATAAAACAAACATTTACTAAGCAATAGTAATGTCTATCAGAATTATACCACTTCCAACATCAACAATCAGGGTCTTTCAGGCTCCCTGTAATTTAGAGACATGTGCTCACATAAAATATCATCACACTTACTTAATACACAAGAAATGGGAGTTGATGAGGGACTCTGTTTTATGTAGGGTTATGTTTACAGCAAAGTTGATGTCACAAGTCATTTTACACTCCTGGGCAGCTAACAATGCAATAGGGCTTGAAAGAGGCACTGTTGAGCAATTTTGCCCTGTGAGAAAGTCACAGTGTAATTACACACACCTGGAGTGTTCATACAGCACAGTGACCAAAAGAGCTGTGCTTTTAAATGGCTGCAGGACAAGAGGTTGTTTTACGTGTAGATAAATGCACACATGTGTGAGCAACATGAGGAGCTACGGCATTACAACACCAATGGTGTCCCCTAGCTGATAGAGATACTGGAGCCCCATTAAGAACTTATTGGGGAGGATCAAAATGGTGAAGGAGTGACTAGAAGTCACACTGAACTCCTCCCAAGACCAATCTGGTATTACAACTAAGTTGTAGAGAAATCACTTGGAACAAATAACTCAACAATAGTAAGAGGGAAACCTTATAACCTTGGCCAACAGAATCAGCTTTAGTACAACCTAACTGGTAAGGAGTGCAGTAGAGATTCAAGAAGGTGAGTGGGGAGCCCACAAGGTTTAGCCCCAGATAGATATTGAAATGGCCAGTTGGATCTCTATGAGAGGAGCAGGATCTCAACCATAAGTGGGGATCTCTAGCCTACAACACCAGAGCCCAAAAAGTACCTAGATAGGAGCCAGCTGCAAAAAAAAAAAAAAAAAAAAAAAGACAGGGTTGTTCCCTGTCAGAGACAGTCAGCTAGAAACTCAAAGAGCTATTTAAAGGTTCAACACATAATTTTTTATTTGCAACCACTTACCCTGGTCTCCAGCAAAACCAGGTGTAGAGTGGGCTGGAGATTTCTGAAGAGAGATTGGGGAAGGAGGCTTTGGGGAGAGAGCTGAGAGTGCAGCCAGCTGGATCCCAGTGCTGAATCATCCTTCATATGGCAGCAGCCATATTGCTCAGGCAGGCCACTCCTCTCAGTGGCAACAGCATGAGAGGACACAATAGCTCCACTCCCAGGAGGTACTCTACTCTGGACCTGTACTGCTAAAGCCTGACTACTGAGTACAAAGTGGCAGCCACAGATAGTAGATCCCTGGCTAAATGGGGCACAGAGTGGTCTAGAGACCATTGAGGAGAGATTGGCGATGGAGGCTTTGGGAAGAGAAGATAGAGAGTAACTGGTGGGATGAAGCTGCTGACTTCTCCTCCTATGGCAGGAGCAATATGGCTCAGGTAGACCATTACCTGGAGTGACATCAATAACCCTGCTGCTAGGAGGGACTCTGTCTCATCTTGTGGCATCTAAGCTGGCCTGCTGAGTGCAAAGGGACTAGATTAACAGCTGATGGAGAAAACCATAGAGAGTAAATTCCTCAAAGTCTCAAACAAGCTGC